ACGGAAGCAATCCCAACATTCCTAGCGGCAGATGACACAGCAGTAAAAGAGTTCTTTTCAAACACCTGCTTGGAGGGAAGAATTTCGTTGCAAGCTTCAAATTGAACTGAACGACAGGCTTAACGAAATTGTTCATTTCTGGCTTCATCACTGCGACGGCCACATCCCCGAACTTAGCTCCAACTTCGTCGAACCCTTGTCCAAATTTAATGACTGCCATGTCAGGCAGCTCGTTCCTGTTGATAACAAACTCTACTCCGACGACGAAAGAAAAGATCAACTTTGGCGAAGACATCATCCCAGTCATTTGAAGATTTCTGAGAAGTCAGTGACATCTCGTGCTTTACAGCTTCAATGGAAGTACTCAATTTAACACACTTGCCTGTAAACTGGGAATATCCTTTATTATTTCATTTGATTTTACTTTTTCAAACTTTAAGAGGTGTTTTCAAGTTCATTGTTTGTTCTTGTAATTATAGTGTCGAGGGGTTTAACTAGATTAAACGAGAGATTAAAAGACGAAATCACTTGGCTCAATTTGCAACCAAACTTAAAAAATACGAGGAAAAGGCGAAGTTTAGGACCCAGTGCGGGATTAACTTCACTACGCACATTGCCCGAGCGGAATTAGTCCACTAACACACCTATTGGGGGTCCAACCCCACACAACAAGAAAAAGCACTAAAGGACTCCTGAACCTCTCTGTCTAAAGGTGATTAGACAGACGGTCCTAGAATCCAAAAGAGTTGACCGTACTTACCCAAGAAAGAAATGGGTGAAGCATATCAACAGAAAAAGGGTAATCTGGTCCATGAGGGACATGGACACATTACCGATATATGAAGACAAAACTTCCTGATCACAATGGAAAGAGAAACTAATCTCAGCGGAGTCGTCAGAATTTGTCGGTCACCAAATTAGAATTTGTCGGTCGTCGAAATAAATATCCTGACGTCCGGTTTAATTTAATATATGTATATATAATTTTGAAAATACTTTAAGTTTTAAAAATACGAGTCTGAACTGATCTCATATCCTCAGCAGTTCAAATAAACGAGCCTAACACCGCAAGCAATACATCTATCCCAAAGCGATCCAAATTAGTTTTGGGGACATTTGAAATGATTTTGAAGGTTTTGGGATAGTTTGGCTCACCAGGGATATTTTTGTAATTTTGGCAAAATCAGAGGTATTTTAATAATTTTGAAAATTTTGGAGTGTTTTGGGAAATTTGGGTGGTTTCAAATGGTTTGAAATAATTTTTTGGACAAAATTGGGTATTTTGGGTAATTTTGATCAAAATTGGGGTTTCAATGGTAGTTGTTAAATTGGGGTAGGTTTTGGGGGTAGAAGACTAGATTGGGTATTTTAGTAGGATTAGGGTTGCCAACCACACACCACCCTACTTAAGTCATGGGCCAATAGTATTCCCTACTTTGGTTACTCCATATACTGGTCTCAGCTAAACCCTGGCCTAGGGCTAGTGGCCTATGGGACCATCTATATGAGTTTCCTTAAAAATTAAGAGACCAACTAAGCATATTTGACTAAAGCATGAGGTTGTGAGTGTAAATGGGGGGTATCAGGTGTGTGTTTGAACTAACGGAGGTCACACCACCCAGGGTCCACCCTAAGGCCAAACAGTCCTATGAGAACTCCCTTTGAACTCCCTCATACTGGCCCCACCTACTAAATATTAGAGGTTAGGACCAATATGAAGAACTTCAAATTGAGCAAAGAAGAGTTTAGAGTTTCTAATGGTGAGAGCTCCTTTTCTATATGAGGATTCTTTTACTGGTCTTCTAGGAATAGTAAACAGAAAAGTCCTATGGCTATATCGTAGGCTACTAAGAAAAAAAAACTAGACCTCAACCAAAATTGAGGTCAACACTGAGCCACCTGAGTTCAAAAATTCACACTGCACCTCAATGATCAAGAATCGGCAGCTATCAAAACTTCACAAGGCTTTTTTTTTATTCCTTTTGACCAGGAGGATGATGCCATATCTTCTTCGTTGAAATTCAGAAGAAGCAGAAAGCAACAAAGAATGAAGTAGGAGCGTAGAGTGTAAAGATCGAGCAAAATTTTGTTCGACCCTGATATCTATTTATAAAACATATGACGTTGTGGAGCTGAGTAGATAGCATCACGATGTTAATCCTTAGCTCAATCAACCCAGTTTAATATTATCCTTTAGTTCTCAGAGTTTCTTTAAGAACAATCATCGTTGATTCAATCGATGGAGCATCGCAAAGCCAGCATGCGACCCCTGCAATAATAAGATCAAATTCAATCTAACTCCTTTAATTCACCTTTGCAGCCCACCCAAAATACATGTTCACCATCTATTTCATTGATAGGGCTTCGCGGTGCTGGGGAGTAGCATTGTAATTCGGGTTATGTTTATTAACTATTCAAATAACACAAATAATCACAATATACACAATTTTCTGGCAAGTGCCTAAGCATTATGACTCCAAGCTATGACACTTGAGAAGAATTGGCGCTATGAATCCATGCTACGGCACTTGAGATGATTTAGTGCCACAACATTGGTTTGCAGCGCAGCAGCTCTGAATCCTTTTTAACAAAATTCAAGAGCATGTGCCCCATGAGGCAATGATAGATCCTAGGCATGAGGCAACGATGTCAAAGTAGAGCCAAAAATGAAGCCAAGAAAAAGAGATTGGAAATGGAAGAAAATTTCAAATAATTTCAAATAGTTGTTTATCAAAGAGAAAGTCGTAGTCATAATCTCAATAAGTCTTTTGTTAGAGCTGTCAATTCAGATTTTTAGGTCGTGTTCGAGTCTAGCCTGACGCAAATACACCCAACTTGGAACTCAGCTCATTTATTAAACCTATCAAATATTTTGTCAGAACCTGACTCAATAGCAAATGTTCTGGCCCAAATTTAGCCCATTGAGGATAAAAGAGGTGCCCACACATGAACAAATAATGTTATAACGATAATTTACTGAACATTAAAAAATGATTGAAATTAATCAGACAACTTATATATAAACAAATATGAATTTAATGCATACGCATTATTTTAAAAGATTAAATATTCATTTATCTAAGAATTACGATGTTATATCTTATTTTGGAATGCAATAGACGGTAAAGAAAAAATTGAAGGAGAAAATTTTCGTGAAGAAGCACAAGAAAATAAAAAGTGCAACATATTTGATTTCTCTTTTTTTGTTTCCTTTTTTTTTAATCATACTAAATTCCATAAAGGCTTTCATGTCTTTTCACTTTCCACCAGAAATCCTAAAAAGGAAGAATCATACAAGAACCTAACAGGAGAATGAGAATTCACATACTAGTAGAACCACAACTAGTGAAATTATAAGTCATGGAGTATAAAATTACCTACGGGCTATGGCAAGGGTGTGGGCTTGCACTAGTAACCACAAGATGTTGAACGAGACAGTGTAGACAAACTTGCAGGGTGTGAATCCCAGAGCAAAAGACAATAGTCACAAGAGGAAAAGACGTTGTGGCTTTACTCTTGAGAGTAGGCGTAGGAGGGTCATATGTAATTTATAAGGGAGGGGTTGAAGGCAAACTTCAACTTTCCTAGCTTTAACAACAACATCTGGACATATAATTAATCAACATATTAGTCCTCACCAAGAAGTCCACTTATAATAACTAGTCGTATAGAATTCTCAATTTCTTCATAATACTAACAAGAAAATGAGAACAAAAAAAAAATCACTCACCTTTCTTTCAAAACGATACCTCCATAAGAAGTGAAATGATACTCATAACCTAATGATTGTCAAAGGCAGCATGCGAGAAGATGGTGGCTACTAATACTAGTTATGAAGCCACAAGGTGTTTTATTTCATTTTTCATCTTGTCTCTATCAACTTTAATTTATTCTTTACTTTCCACATTTTTTGTAAAACTGCATTTCTTTGTAAAAGTAATTGGCAATGATGCATCTCAGTGTGTATCGACCCTGCCCTTCAAAATCTTCATATCTTTTGCATGAATCATAGAGTTTAAAAGAAAGAAATACAAAAAGATTCAAACTAAAGCCCACAAATTCATATTTTTAGAGCTGAAATGAACTGACATGAATAAAATAGCTTGCAATCAAATCAATCAAAGACAACATTTTTAATACACATTGATGAATTATTTAAGCCCTTTGGTTCTCTTATCATTTATTGCAACAAACTTCCAAAGATAAAAGAGAATAAAAAACCTCAATCGCTATAACCAATTGTCCAAATAACAAAATTCATGTTAGTATTCTTTTTTTGGTTTTATTTTTGTTTTATTTATGTTTTGATTTAAAACAAAACGTGTTTGACTATTTCATTAAAGTATAGTTATTTTTACAAACACTCAAAACACCTAATAGTTCTTTTGAGTGTTTTAAAAAATATGTTAATTTATTTTTAAAAACAAAAAAATAAAAACATGTAAGAAAATAAATACTAAACAAACATGTTTTTAAAGACAATTTATCCATTTTGGGATCCGCTGTGAGGCATTTCGCATGGGTTGTGGCATGGTTGGGGTGCAGACATGTAACATCACTACCTGGAAAGTGAAACCCCATAAACTAAAAAATAAAGCAGGTTAATTCCACAAAGCACCAATGACATGAAAATATAATCAGTGGAGAAAGAAGATAAGAAAATGTTCCAGAAATTTATTTGACCGGTATCTAAAGAGCTGGTAACTTGAGTAAGGGAAAGGCTCAACAACTGTAGGCTTGTGTAATGAATAGCTTGAATATTGTCAAGGGCGTGAAGGAAATTTCGTTTATTAAAGGATGAAATTGAATCAATATCAATATTAAAAATAATAATAATATATAGAATCATAAGAATTAAAATATAAATTCATGTCTAAAGAAACATTGCATGTAAAATAATAAATTTGATATAATATAAATATTTCATCACTAATTATCTACAACCAAAAGGTTTGTAAGAAAATATTCACACGCAGACAAGACATGAAACAGAAATTTACCTGCAGCCTTCGCAGCAACAGCTTCTTGATAAACATCTGTTATAAATAAGATTTCTGATGGCTTATCTACTCCAACAGATTGAGATATCTCACAGTAGCTTTTTGCATCTCGTTTGTTCCTAAACATGAGAGAAGAAAACTCGTTAGCCAGAGAAAGTAGCATACAAATAGTATGGTAACAAGTTTAAACAAAGAATCAAATCAACAAGCGATCGAACTGACAATATCACTTCTTAAGAAAACATACCCGATTGTAGTGTCAAAAAAACCACATAAATACTTTCTCAAGTCCCCGTGTACAGTATTTCTGAAGATAAGCCTTTGAGCCTCTCTACTCCCACTGGAATATATGTAAATCTGAATAAAAATGTTATTTTTGTCAATATACAGTTTGAGCTGATTTTTGGTAGGTAGGATAACATATTGGAGCACAAAAAAAAAAATCAAATTAAACAGCATTAGTGGACGTAGAAAGGGAACTAGTAATAGTGTTAAGTAATTAAATAAAGATGATAGGATTTGAACAAAAGAAAAAGCTTCAATAGCTGCAACAACAGCAGCACAAGAAAAAAAGTTCACAGCTTCAACCAACACTGAAATAGCCGAATGAGGAATAGTTGTTCCAGCCTTATGATTAGTAGTTTGTGTCCTCTGAGTGTGGCGTATCTTATAAGCCAAAAGGAGAAGTTGAAACAGCCCAAAGGAATGATTTTTCATCCAGAAATGAGAAACTAAACTAATAATCGAGTAGTTTTAAACAAAACTTCAAGAATATATGTGATGCGGATTGCAGAGTTTCCCATGATACCATGAAACTGAGGTATGACTCAAGCGATTGTGGGAGTTCTTCCTTTTTTATTTCATTCCTTTACCTTCAGGTAGTTTCCTTCCTTTGTTTCTTTCCTATTTCACATTAGGAGACTTTCATATATGTAAATTGGGTTGCTTGGATTTTTAATTTTCAAATTTATGAATTGTGAGAGATGTCTTTGATTTACGCTCTCCGGAGTGTTCTCACATTTTCCCATCGCAAGTGGTGTATTTGTAGCTTTCCTAGGAACAATTGGTTTATCCCCCTCGCCGTCCGCACTTAAACATTTGCTGTTTTTCCATTGTTTTTCTGACGGACAGCCGTCGAAGCCACCGTTATATGCTGTTTACAGCACGAAATTGCTTTTTTTTTCCCTTACAACATTGCCGGTCACACAGATTATCAATCGCCATCTATCCTCCAACTCAAGTAATGAATCTTAAAACTTCCCTTATGTCCTTTTGTGCTTTATCAAACCTTCTAGGAGCCCTAGAAAAGTGTCATTTAGTATTAGAGTCAGTTTAACGCTATGGAGAAACCCTCAATGAGGCGCTCATGAAATTCCTATGGAGTACATGCAGCGGGAAATCCTTCAATTGCAATACAGACTCGCTGATTTTGGCAAAAGACTACCAGAAAGTCACCCATGGCAACAACAGTGACCGCCCAGACAAAGGTTGAAAAAAACTTTTTCTACCAAGCTTCAAGTGACAAAGAGTCGATGCCACGTCAATTAAGCATTGAGTATAGGAGGAGAGAGGTTAATTTTAAAGTAAAGGTTGATCTGCAGAAATTTGACAGTCGCATGAATCCGGACAAATTTGTAGAGTAGCTCCAGACAGTGGAACGGGTCATTAAATACAAGGATGTTTCACCTAGTAGAGGGGTAAAACTAGCCACCATCAAAATAAGGAAATGTGCATCTTCATGGTGAAAAAAACTGAAACGTTTGTGCCAGCAAGAGGGAAGGAAAAATCATAATTTGGTCCAAGATAAAAAAGATGTAGCGCAAATATTTATTAATACATTACAAATAAGACATTCTTAAGGCTTCGTTACTTAAAGCAGAAAGATCGTTCAGTAGAGTACAAGCTCGCAGCTTATGTTGAACTGTGAACCAGTAGACCTCAAGGATAACGCCATAGACTAATATCTAGAGAGGTTGAGACATCTATTAGTAACGTGGCACAGTTAAAGCCCTATTGAACATTACAAAATGTCAAGACTTTAGCCCTAGAAGTGGAGAGAACACTGCATCATCATTTTCACACTGCCTTCAAAACTGAATTAAGCCTTCAAATCAAGTAGCAAGAACACATTGAGAGTACCCAGACCTATCACTCGTGAAGAAAAATTGGTATGAAGGAAAAGAGGCCTTAATTAGACCGGTACCCAAAAAATTTTCATACCAGGTAGTGTTTCAAATGTCATGGCTACAATTATATTTCATCCAATTGTCCAAATAGGAGGGAGATTTCTTTTAATGAATAGGGTGTGGTGGAGGAGGCCAAGGGTGAAGACCTACAAGAAAATAGAGATGAGTACGAGCTACCTACAAACGACAGTGAGATGTCTGTTGTTCGACAAGTTCTCCAAACCAAGCCTAAGAGGGATCAACAGTGGATTAGGCATGATATCTACATACCCATGGTACTGTAAAGGGAAAAGTATGCAAACTCATCATAGATGAAGATAGTTGTGAAAATGTGGTATCTACTTAGACGATAAATGAATTGAGTCACTCTACACAAAAGCAATCCCAGCCACTCTGACTTGGTTGAAAAAAAATGAGTCTGTGTCAACAAAAGATGTCTAGTGGAATTTTCAATTAGGGACAAATTGTAGGATTTATCAAATCATGTCATTCTCTTGTGAACATTTGGAGGCCTTCACACCAATTAGTTGTTTCCACAAAATTGTTATCTAAACCTTGTGATGTCAAAGCTTTTATCAAGATGAATGTTTTTATCTTATATAATAAATGTGTATGGTTGGTTTCAGTTTAGAATGGGTCCTAGCAAGATGTACTGACAAATTCCCCACATACTTTCTATTGTCATATTTCAATCAAATATGAGATTTATGTTTTAAGCTTTTTACAAATTTTGAATAATCTAAATGGCAATGCTCATGCCACCACCGTTGCCCATGGGTACTGTCAACAAGGTAATGTGGTTGTGTGCCATATGACATTAATTCAAATTTTGGAGGTCATTATTGTAGCTTGTACATATGGTTGTGGCTTGACTGCTACTCAATAATTATATCTTGAGTCTTCCAATAATTATATCTTGAGCCTTCTACTTTTACAAAGCTGGGATATAATCTTAATATTTCAAACTATAATATTTCTAATAATGAAGTTATAATGAATTTAGATCATTAGTGAGCTCCATGTGCTAGTGAATACACATGCTCATAAACTACAATTATACAAGATAAAAGGAAGCAACATGCATACTAGTTAAACTATTAAAGAGTTGATGTTATTCAAAGAGACTTACTATATTAAAAACATATCAATATCATTTCATATCTATACAACCGTTACAGAAGCATCATCAACAACTTTATGTCAATTAAGACACAACAACATTAATATCATTTCTTATATACGTGCATGCATACCTTAGTGTTCCCCATTACTATCATTAAGGGGTAACACCATCATAGCCAAACGTGCACATACAAACATACTATAAAAATATTACATTTTTAAATAATAAATATTTTATTCTCAAATTGCGTAGTAGTTAATATTCTTGTTCATAATTCAATGATAAATTAAGCAAAGCGGAGCACACAGGTAATTCATAAAATAAGACCAAAATTCATTAGAACAATAAATCACGAGTATGAGGCACAATAACAGTAACAATAAATTTATTCCGTCGAGAAGAAACAAAATATTATTATAGTAAAAAAGTATAAGCAGTCACCTCACTACGATTTCTTTATTCTTGAATTTGACTTAGCCTCAATCCTGTAAAATTTAAGCCTACAATAAAATAAAGGTATAAATTTTAATTAATTTTATATGTTAATTAAATTATTAACTTCTCATTACTTTATTAAATTTTTCATATTTATTTGATGTAATCTTATATATATATATACAGATATAGATATATATATCAAAACGATACCTCCCCCAGAACCCCCCGCAGAGAACCCCCCCCCCCCGCCCACACCCTGTTTTGAGATATATATATATATATATATATATATATTATAGTTCCCTAGGTATGCTGGTTTGAGCCTTTTAGTCTCAACAATGGTTACCTTTTTATAAATTATACTATGCACAAGAAGTTCCCTGGGTACTTATTCAAATTTGGTGTAAATGGATATTGCAGTGGTTTATTTCTTTGGCCACATATGCAGGATTGTGATAAAGCAAAGGCAATGAATTTTAATTGCACTAGCAGTGTTTTGAAGATGGGTTTGGGCTTAATGGCTAACTGTTTGCATTTGATGCATGCGTTAATGGTTCTATTTTCCTTTTTGGTTACCATTACTGGTATTAGCTACAATTTTGAGCTTTTTGACTTCACGTTGGCTAGCTTTATTATGGAGTGCGTTAACTGTTATTTTCCTGATACTAAGCTGGTGGTGGTAGCTGCTTTGACTAATTACTTTCAAAGCCACTTATTTTGGACATATTTTGTGTGGCTTGTTGTCAATTTTTTGAGGAATTACTGGCTGTATTTTCTGTGGCTTATGGTAACTCATTGGTGGGAACATTTGCGGGTTAAGGCCATCAGATCACTCTGTCAGATCTGTTGGTTGTCGGATTCCATGCTCAGTACTCAGAATCTCGAGGCCCATACTTTTTTATCTCTAAATATGCTATATGAATGGAGGCAATTCGCTCATCTTGGTCGTTGTGATTCATTCTAGGGAGCTTCTATTTCTGCCATCCCTCGGTTTCATATTATATGCAAAGCAACATTTTTTTGGACTATTGTAACTACTCTACTTTTGCTTCACTACTTTGTTACTTTCAACTCTCATAACAGGTTTGGTCTTCTGGTGATAAGCTTCACTATCCCTTCTATGTTGAAGTTGTTCTTGGACGGTCACGAAGCTACGCTTCTGCATTTTGACTGGTATTCAGATATGGTTAAAGGTTTTTCGGCCTTACGTTTCACACCACTTTTTTTGCACTTTCTTTACATGTTTATTATGGGTATACTGCTTTGGATTGGTATACGTTTTGTTGGGACACATGCATGTCTTTTTGAAAGCGGTTACTTTATAGTTCCTTTTACATCTTTTTTGCGTAGTGTTATAATGTGGATGGAGGAACCTTTATTACTTTATGTATTTTTATTTCTTTTAAAAGGGATCCTCCTTCCCCCCCCCTTTTTTTGTACCCTTCCTTTTTTATTAACGCGTAAAGAGCCACGACCTGTTCTTTTATTAATATATATATATATATATATATATATA